CAAAAAAAAAAAAAAAAAAAAAAAAAAAAATCCTCCTGACAAAAATTTTCTTCCTCAAGACATTTTCAATGAAGGGATAATAATGAGAAGGGCGGGGTGAGGGAAAAGAAAGGAGATGGTTCAAAGAACCACTACTTTAATCCATGACTATGTAAATGAATTAAACATATTTAACTGGCTTTCTACATCGCAAAGAAGACTGGGCAATGCTTTTTCCATGCTACTCACACAAGTTTAGTGCTAAACCTTGCCTTTAAACTGTCTGCAGGGGCCATGCTACAGAATCTCACTGGATATAAAGCAGATGTAATGAGATACATTTTTGTGATAAACTCCTTGGAAGAGGAGGTAAAAAGGGTCTTACTGGACCGCAGCAGTAGAATGAAAGATCCCTTTTAATGCCCTTCCACTGCAAACTGCTTGCATCCTTTTTTACTGCTGATGCATTCTGTGCTGTGGTTACTTCTATGCCTTTCCCCACCACTAGACAGTGAGCCCCGAGTGGACGATTCATTCACATTCTCGGTGGCATCAACAGTCTCTAGCCCGGCACAGGGTCACTGTCAAAATCGTCTCCTTATAAGGACAAGTTTTTCTTCCAGCATAACTGAGTATTGTTTCAGTTACACATTGCTATTCTTAATAATCATTTAACTCTTGAGTATATGTATTAAGAGGTTTAAAGTATTATTTGGTTAACTAATATAGAAAACAGATTCGGGAGATGTGGAATGACATTCAAATATTTATAAAACTTTAAAAGTTAACTATCACTGTAACACTAAAACAGCATGCAATTCTTTTCATTTTCTAAGACCTACGCTCAATTTCATATCTCAGAGACATCATATATATTTTTAACTTTTCATTTTACATGGGAGTGTAGTTGATTAACAATGTTGGCAGCATATATGTTTGCATTATATTACCGTCCACCATTATAGAGCAGGTTGCCTTAAGTACAACTCAGTCACACTTCTGAAAGTTTCAGACATCTAGAACTGTTTCGAAATGTGTAAGGTTTGTAATAGATGAAACATGCCATGTCAAGCTTTGTTCTTACTATTAATGCCACGATCCTTTTGAAAAGAATATGCGTCTCTGATTTAGGTATATTTCTCTCTCTCTCTCTCTCTCTCCCTCTCTCCCTTTTTCCCTCCCTCTCAATCCACACATACATGCATACACATTCACACCTACCCATGGACACTTTAAAAACAACTTTGTGTTTCAATACCAAAAACTCTCTTTTTAAAAACATCCACCTCTTTTTTATTATAAAAATTATGTAAGAAAATTATAGAAACTTTCATCTGTAGAGTGAGGAAAATCAGCTCTAGGCAGCACGCTATTAGCATAGGTCTTACAGCATAATATTTTAATAATGGTCATTTTTGAACTTTAAATGTAGCATTTTTTTACACAGAAAAATAGTAAATATTTTGGTTTTTTTAATATAAAACTTCTCCATGTAGTTAGAATCATATATAAATTTTAATTTCCACTATAAAAGCAACATTCATAGAAATGAGAAGTCATGATTGGCCAAATATAAATTCATTTAAATCCAAAATTAAAATTATACCAGAATAACCAAATCCAATATATTAACATAGATTCAATTTGGGGGAAAATTTATTTGATTTCACATTCCTTTTGAGTCCACCTTTCTTTTTTCCATAAATATAACCACATCTTAAGTTTATGAGTGTAAATAAAATGTCTAATGCAAGTCAAGAGTTCTTTTCCTACTGTGCACATACAAAAATTGTTTGAATAATTCATTTTGCAAAATATAATAATATAACTCTATTTTTGAAATATATAAAGAGTATTTTTATAATCAATAATAACCATTAAATAAAATCAAGTCTAATATTGACTTTTGCATTTTTCAATGTGGTCATATCTAAATAAATTTTCAATTCTTTGCCAGGCATTTTCTTAAAGATCATCCTTTTGTATTTGTTTCCCCTCATTCTAACTTATTTTAAGTTATCTTTTTAAACACAATAAAATTCTTACAGAATTAAACTACTAATATTTTACTTTCTAGCATGTATTAAATACCTTTTTTGTCACTATAAAATAGAAAATAATCCACATTCAATCTGAATGAGATCTTACCTTCTGGTTTGTTGTTTTTCCTCTTCAGCCATTTTTCTACAGTCTCTGCACTAACACTTTCAGATACAAATTCATCTAATACCTGGGGGTGAAGAGAAAGATATGCCTTCACTTTTTCATCTGTCAAACCTGTAAAAGAATTGAAAAGAATAAAATTAATCAATACGAAATCTTCATTTACATCAAAGATATAGAAAAATGACATTTATGCAGATTGATTTAGCATAGAAATATTTTTAAAAGATGTATATACATACAATGGACTATTATTCATCCATAAGAGGGAATGAAGTTCTGTTACAACATGGAGGAACCTTAAGAATGATATAGTAAATAAAATAAGCTAGACACAACGGGCAAACATTATATGATTCCACTTATATGAAATCTCTAGAACAGGTAAATTCATAGAGACAAAGTAGACTAGGGGCATCCAGGGGCCGAGGGAGAGGAGAATGAGGAATTATTTGCTTAACGGGTACAGAATTTCTGCTTTGGGTAAAGACAAAGTTTGAGAAGTAGACAGGAGTGATGGTTGCACACATAGTGAGTATAATTAGTGCCATTGGATTATATCCTTGATATGGTTAAAATGGCAAATTGTGTGTTATTTATATTTTACCACTATGAAAAAGTAGGGGGAAAAAAGTAAAGTTAGAACTTTAGCAATTTTAAACTATAGCTATTGCATCATGTTACACAGCTGTTTTGCAACAGTAAATTTCAGTGTCATATTTGAACTGATGCTGTAGTCCACTGCTGTTCGGTTAAGCCTTGCAAAGTGCTTCCACTTTTTTGTAAGTAATTATCATAGATTTAAGACTTAAGGTAAGTGAAACTCTAGCAACAGTATCAAATGGGAGAATAAAGCACTGGTACAGTTTAGGTGCTAAAAAACATGCTTAATGAATAAGTTCTTATCTTTTACTGTTTACAACACAAATTCTCCTTTTTCTCAGGGTCACTAAATCCAATGATAAAACTAATGTTCAGTTCAAAATACTCGACATTTTTTCATTGATATTCAATATATGTAGTCAGTTTCACTGAAATAATTTTCATAGTCTAATAATAACGGCTGAATATACACAGAATTTTCAAGCAAAGAACTTTTACATATCTTCACTTAAAAAAATATAAAATTACATGTTTTCAAATTGATGCTTCACGTTGGTATGCCATTTCACTAAACAACTCAAAATCACAAATAGGCTATCAATAATTATTACTCGGTGATTGTAATTATTTGTACTACTGTACACTCTCTGTGAATTATTCAATAAATTACCATCCTTAAGGATGGTTAGGTGAAAAAGACAATGGAAAATTGTACTTTTAGATGCAGAAAAGAGAAAAAGCAAGTATATCTTTATGACTTCAGGGAATAGGCTGCATGTTTCTAGCACAGACAAGGCACAGAATTTATACATATTAATTAATTCTGCTGGGGACTAAAGTCACAACTGTATGATTCTACAACAGACTGGTATTATTGAGAAGGCAACTGATTTATTTCAATGAATTCAGTATTTAAAAAATCAATTTAAACTATATAGATATACAGATCTCTCATATATATATATAATATATATAATTATGTAGTTGTATTAGATAAAAAAAAAAAAAAAAAAACAAGATCCAGCCCATGTTCACCCTGCAAAAGAGCCTCAGTGACGTAAAATTCAATTTGAGAAATTCTACAAGGTGCTAAAGATAAGAGACTCATTAAAGTAAGAGAGAGAGAGCTCTCTTGACAAAGCAAGTTCGGGTCCCCAGATACAAAAGGCACAGAATATAGAAGTAAGCTGACAGCTGACTTGGCCTCAAGAAGACAAAGCAATTTTCATACTTTCATTATGTCCGTCATAGTGGTACATATTCAACATTTGATTCCTTCTTAAAACTTCCTTCTATCACTTTTGTGACACAATATGGTTCTTACCCTAACTTCTATTTGCTCTTTACTTCTGCTTTCTCTACAATAATCTATGATGATGACAGCAAAATCTTATTATATTTTTAATCTCTAGTTTGGAAATTCTTCCATCACCTCAAGCTCCATCTTGACTCAAAACTACATGAGTCATCTCCTTCCCACTTATTCCCAAAGTGATTTTAACTCTCAACTTTCTGTTTTCTGTTACTATTACTCTCCGTTTTTTCCAGAAACCCAGGCTGAAAATATAAAGGCATAATTGACTCACTGTCATTTCATTTCATCTTAGTGCACATTATACAAGTCCTATTTGCCAAATTACATATCAGATAAAGGAACCGTATCTAAAATATACAAAGAATGCTTAAAACTCAACAAGAGGGCTTCCCAGGTGGCGCAGTGGTTGAGAGTCCGCCTGCCGATACAGGGGACGCGGGTTCGTGCCCCGGTCCGGGAAGATCCCACATGCCGCGAAGCGGCTGGGCCCGTGAGCCATGGCCGCTGAGCCTGCGCGTCTGGAGCCTGTGCTCCGCAGCGGGAGAGGCCACAGCAGTGAGAGGCCCGCGTACCGCAAAAAAAAAAAAAAACTCAACATGAAAAAAACGCAATTAAAAATGAGTCAAAGAGCTGAATAGACACTTTGCAAAAGAAGATATAGATATGGCAAATAAGAATATGCAAAGATGATCATTTGTGAGTTGAAGTTAAACAAAAATGAGATTCCACTACATACCTATGAGAATGGTTAAAATCCAAAAAACCTACTATCAGTTTCAGCAAGAATGAGGAGTAACAAAAATTCTCCTTCAGTGCTGGTAAGAATGCAAAATGGTGGTCACTCTGGAAGACGGGCAGTCTCTTACCAAGCTAAATATAATCTTACCATATGATCCAGCAGTCACACTACCAAGTATTTACCCAACTGATTAACCCTCACAAAACCTGCATGTGAATGTTTAGAGCAGCTTTACTGATAATCAACCAAAATTGGAAATAGCTAAGATGTCC